GCACTCTCGCTGGGATTGTTGTGAATCCACAAACAAAGTTTTAGTCTTGAATTATGCAGCAATATTCAAATCATCTTTTCAGCCCGGAGGTAGAATAAAAGTTGTCGGTTGTTTGTTCCGTCTCTCCTCTCCTGAATCCCGACAAAAAGTGGCATAAAGTTAAATAGTTGAATATCCATGTCTAATTACTATCATCATATTATGTAAATTTTCCCCCAGCATTGTTTTAATTTCAACCACCTAAAAAGCACCACTCTTCAAATTTCATTTCGCTACGAATGACCACCAAGTGACCAGCTTCATTGTGAGTTCAACGGCCCATGCCGTTTCAAACTTATGTTCATAATTTTCGGTAACGAAATCATCCGCACAATGAAGGAACATTCTTTGGGACCGACTCGTTGCGTCAATGGTTTTCGGTCACGAAGCGCTCAAGCAATATAAATTCATAATCCTCGGCTAAAAATAGTTTATTTTCTTTCGAAATATTTCTGCGAACAATTTCGGGAATGAAAATTTATCATTGAATGGAAGAAATTTAGAATCTCTACGAAGGGTAAAAGTATTTCGAAAGAAATAGGTTGAAGTGAAAAATCATATTTTACTTTTTTTTAGAAAAAATGGACCATTTCACCTCTGGAAAGCTCCAATGGTGAATGAAATCCAATTTTATCAACCTTCCGCTTCTGAAATAAGATTGTGCTGATAAGGCATTTTCCTTTGGATTCTGCTTCGGAATGCATTTTATGAAATATCCGTTTCTGTGACGCATTCAATAAGACGAGAAATGAAAAGAAATGTCATTTGTATCGTATATGTATACAATTGTGAATTCACTATCAACGTATTCATTTCACTATGTTTTGAGCTTCTCATGTATATATGAGCGTTTGTTGCCATTCAGTTTGCTTAACGAGGCGTGCTATGCTCGCACTTTTCTCTCGTTCTTCAATTTATTTAAAGTGTTGAGCTCTTGAGTTTATCCTCCTAAACTGAATCACTCTAGCTAAAGTCATATGAGTTGCTTTAAATACAGTTTTAAATGTTGTGTTCCATCGTTTTTCTTCTGTTCACAAACGTAGCACATGTTCATTTGGCAAATGTAAAATTCCTTTAGATTCTGTTCATCATGCCATGACATTGTCATGTGACAAATACCATACAATCTTCTTCAAAAGAGTGCTAATTTTGAATTTATATAGAACCAATACCATCATCGTCATATGTTCTTAACTTGATTTACATATTCACATGTGAAAATGGATGAGAACTTTTGATTTAATTAATTAAAAGCAAACGTTTTTGTTTGTATCAATGTTCGATTTTTGTTCCGAAAATAGCCGAATTTATTCGAGAGGTACCCTAATTTTTCAGCCAATTGCCTTCAAATTTGGTATAGATTAGTTTTTTCATGAAAAAATAGATTCCAATAACTAAATGGCAATTTTATCTGCAATAACGTATAGTCGCCGATCAAAGTATTTTTCAGTTTTGGTGAGTTCAACCATGTTTCGTGCTATATCTCCCGAACCACCCAACCGATTTTGATGAATAGGGTACCAAAATTTATGGGAAGGTCTCAACTTTTAAGTAATTAGGTTTCTATTATAATTTTAGAGTTCCAAACGAGAATTCACTGTGCCATGTTGATAGACCTTGGAGCTTATTTTCCTTATTCAAACGTGTCCCGGAGAGAGTAAAAATGCAGAATCGTTTATTTTGGGGTCCTCTAACATCGTGCATTCAAAACCCCAATGTGCGAGACAACAACTTTTATTTTGTCGCACGGTGCATTCATGCAAAAAACCTTATATTAATATTCAATATATTCATTTATAACGTGAGCACAGAAAACTTCTCTCCAAAATCTGTCGAAGTGTTGGTCGCACGTTGATACATAGGCGACAAAAGCGTGCGTGTGTATGTTTTTATTCGCCGATGTGTGTTTTTCTCTCTCTCTCCCTCTATGAGTGTGTGTTTGTGTGCTGGAGCATCAGCTAAACCACAATCATATGAAACAAATTCAGATAATGCGGCAACAGTTCTTAGTATATTCAACCGACATTTTGAAGGAACGACTTTAGTTTTCGGGGTTTTCCATCAGAGTTTTGCTTTAATTTGAAATTATTTCAATTAGCTGAATTAAATTTCCATTTTGAAAATTAATTATCAGCACGAAGGAAGTGAAAGAATGAGCAGAAAAATCCCCATTTTGAATGTTAATCATTTTCACAAGAATTATTTGCGTTGTGCGTCTAATTAAGCAATGCCTTCGTAGAAATGCGAGCTTACGAGACACGTGGTGCGTGATTCTCTTAACAAATCATCGTCTTTGTGACGCAATCTCTTCTCTGTGATGCTGGGTTTGTCGTTGCTGCTTCTTTTCATCCATTCATTACTTAGCGCATGAATATTCCAGCAAAGGAATGATCTTCGTTCAAATGTTCCCTTTGATGCTGAGCGGCGGCGACAGCACTGGCTGTTTTGAAAAACCAAACTAACTGGAAAAAGAATTGTTGCAACGTGCGTTGGTTTTCGTTGCTACTAGATTCCGTGTAATTAAAATGTAAATGACAGATTTCATGCCTTTGTTTTTCCGTTCGCTTTGCGAAATGCAAAAACCCAAGCGAATCTAATTTTTCATATATATGTGTTTTTAAAACTCGGCTCAAAAATTCATTAGTACGGACTTATGCAAATGGCACAGCAACATAAATGGAAAATTACGGCTCGATATCAACATGTTCGAGTTGTTTCGTGGAAATGCTCGATTTTATTTCAAGTCACACTGAATTGAGTAGCCGAGATTTTACTTTCTAAGGAATATTTTATTCATTCACTTTTACTGCTTGCTACTCTGATGTACACAAAGTTTAACAGATACATTGAATTTGGTTGAATTTACTTTTGGTATAAATACACGATACAAGTACACGATTCGGTTACTTTGACACAAATCAAACTTTAGCATTCACATGAATCGATACTTACCCGCATGGAAAAAAATGACTGACTGACTTTAGATTCAGTTGACTGTAGTTGATTGAATTTATATTTTTATATGAAAAAAATCACTTTGTCCCAAAATAAGCAAATTATTTTGACTTGTAACTTTAAACGATTTTAATTAACTTTGATAGACTTACACTATACGTTGTACTGAAATGTCAATCAAATTAAGTCATTTTGTTCCGAAATTAGTTAACTGACTGGCCAGTTACAATATTTGCACACGGGTATGCATAGGAGTTGTATTCATTCCATTTATTTCAATTACACAGTTAATGCATTCTCTATTTAAATTATTCTCTCTATGGTCTCTGTAGAACTTTAGTCGAAATAGCTCTTTTTGTAATGGAACTACATATTTCCTAACTATAATGGAAGTGTATCGTTTAACGCTCTTCTTTCATCGTACATTAACATCTATGGTGTCAATCAGGAGGACCAAAAGGAACAGAAAAGATTATTTTCCATTTTCTTGGCAATTTCCTCTGTGCAAAAATTAATTCAAAGTTAATATTGAAATGGAGACAAAGAGCGAATGAAAAATAAAGTTTACGTTTCTAGATGAGTGCGATATTATAGAACGACTTTTTTCATCGGTGATTATTTAAGCGTTTTTTTCTCTCCCTTTTCCTTTCACTCTCCGTCTTTTAGCTTCACCAGCAGATGTTTGTTCAAGAGGTGAATTGGAAATGGGCAAATCGAAAGTTTCATTCACTTTGAAAGTTTGTGTGCAAATGTTTTAAAGTAGGACACTAGGTGTAATATGCGATTTCGACGAGTGCACTCGCCGTCTCTTTTGAAAAAGCGCATAGCTAACGTACACAGCACACCACTCCATATACAATTTGATTATTGGCCATTGAAGTGAGCAATAGAAGTTTTGCTAACAGTTTCAAATTAATTCCCCCTTTTCCAAGTAATCGAGTTATAATTAAACTGAAATTATCATGATTGTTATTAATATGATGAAGATGCAATTAGTTTTGGAGAAAAGAGCAATTTACAATTTGGATTAGTCGTTGCACGCACGCACACCACCCCCCCTCACGTGCGTTGTAAATTGCAAGTGGCGATAACAGTGGCTGTGTTGTTGCCACCACTGTTGCTGCTGCTGTTGCTTGCTCGAAACTAATTCAATTCCACTTTCATTTGCTACTTCATCACAACTCATTGATAACATTCTCAACTGATGATAAACTTTTCTGGGCGAACGAACGTTCGACAACGTAACGGTAAGTTGTTGTAGCCAGCTGCTTGAATGTACGCATACATATTTAACACAGACTGAATCAGGCAAACTCATTTGAAAATAAGTTTAACTTGTATAAAATTATGTTAAATGTAAACATTTTAAAGATGTTCCCCTTTTGTTCGAAACGCATTGCGAAATCGAAAGTTCGTCGAAAATTTCCCGTTCACTTTTCAGGCAAACAAAATTGAATCATCAAATGCGCGTGAAATCTGTTTTCAATTCGAATAAACCAATGAATAATATATTCAAGTTTGGTTCAACAACAGAAAAAATAATAATAAATTATCGTTAAAATGTTTGCGATGCGTGTGCTAATTCGAGTTTGCTCAAATAAACAATAGATTTTTTTTTCTCCCATTGCTGTTCTTGGTGCTCCGTTATTTTTGCAGAAGTTTCTTTTTCATTTTGTTTCGGTCGACCCAATTTTTTTCAATGATTCATGTTGAATCAAACAGAGTTGGCTCTAATTAGAACAATGATGCTGTGTATTTAAGCCCAACGAAAGCGTGGATAAGTTTAATTTACGGCAACGCGATCTCGTAACTCAATTCATTGTGAAAATTTCACGGAACGACAAGTGTTTGCTCTTAATAATTATTTCGAAAATAAAAAAAAACGAAGCGAAAAAAAATTCCTAGTGCAAAAAAGTGTTATATTGCCATCAAGTTTTAGATATAAAAGAGGGTGCAAGTTCGCTGTGAAACTTATAAACGTTGAGTGAAACGGTGGAAAAGAGAGCCGCAAGAAAAGAATTTCAAAATGACGAAGTTTCTAACTTTAGTTGGTTTATTCATAACACTTCAGGTATTTCTTTGGGGCGGAAAAAATTTCTTCAATTTTCTTGTGTCAAAATATTTGGATTGTAATGAATTTGTGTTTCAGTTGGCTGAAAATCAGTATGAAGTCATCGCACAAAGTCATCCATTGAGTGTTCAAAAGCGATCCGATCCGTCTTTGGGACCGGTTGGTGGGATTGCTATTAAGCATCCACTTCAAGCAACTGTTTATGCACACCGACAAGGATTGATGAAGTTGTTGGTACCGTTTGAGATAACAATTGTGCCGTTAGCGGGTGGTGGTGTTCCATATCCTGAGGTGCCAACAAATGGTTATCCTATCTCTGGCCAAGTCAAACCACAACAAGATGTTAGTCACTTGCCATACAATCGAAACACCTACCGACAATATCCTTCTTCACAATTCGGTCCAAGCTATTATCCACCCGCTTCATATCGATACTCCTATCCTTCATACAATCCAAGCAGCTATAATAGTTACAATGGCTACAATCAACAGTACCGCAATCCATATTATGGTGTGCCGGCTCGTCGAGTTGATATCAGCCATACGAAACCATGGCCACAATATCGTCCAACTCAACAAGTAGGTAAATATTTTATTTTTCCCATCGAATAAACCTTTTTACATAGAGAATATTTAACTATGTCAATTTTAACGTCGATTCAACTACTTCTTCGGGGTGGTGAAAATGAAAAATAAGGTCAAACCCGTGTACAACGCAATAAACGCAACACACAATTGGTCCGGAAATAATTCGGCAATCAACATAAGTAGTCTAGTTAATAATGTAACGCACCCACCGAATGCATCGGCACCAACTGCAAGTAAGACCATCGTATGATGAATAGATCCATTTTCGTCCAAAATCCATTCATTCCAAATTTTCTCATAATCAACTCAACTTTTTATTGAAAAAAATTCTCACAGTCACAACAACGACCGCACCCGGAATCCCACAGCCAACAACATTGCCAGCTAACACGGCCGCTGCTACATCGACAACAACGAGTACAATAATACCGGAACCAATGCCCGAAGTACCAACTGATGTTCCACTGGCACAGTCCTTAGAAAAAGAGGCGAGCTACATTCAACCCATCTTTGTTCCACCAAATTTAGCGTTGGACGGAACGATTCTGCCAAATGAAATGAATTTCAATGGGGAATACAGCGATCGAATAAACGGCAATTGAAAGCAAACTTGAACCCAACAGTAAGTAGACAATGCAAAATCAACGGAAAACATCAACCCACAACTGAAGAGAATATAGGCAGCTTGTGCTTCGTACGAACAATGCTATTGATTTCGGGGCCGGAAAGTTATATTTGCACCATTCCAATGCAGAACCAAACAAAAAATTACGCTTTTTTTTGAAATACTTGTTTTTACAATCTTAGAAACATACTTAGATTTACATTTCCCAAGATACTATTCACTCTTTTCTTTCGTGTGATGGGTTATGAATAAAATGACGTACAAAAATTCGAGATAAAATATCAAATAGAAGAATGTATCGAAAACGATTTTCAGCGTTTTTATTCCAACATCAACAGTGATTATGTTCAGTTGTTGTGTTCGTTTGTTCGAGGCATCGGCTGATTTAGCTGTGGGAATTCAAGGCAAAATGTGAATGAGATCGATTGACTTTACATGTATGTGTTTCGTGCACAATGTGTACTACACATTCACTGGATGCCATATGATTTCGATTCAAAATTGGTGTCTAGAGACAAGCATTTTATTTGTGGCATTGTGTGTTTTTCTCTCTGTGTTCAAGAATCCATTCAAATGGCGTGTCGGTTACTTTCATTTTGAATTCCATTTCAAAGTGATACGCTTTCCTTGGCTTCAATGCTGGCGCATCTTTAAAGTGTATTTCGAGAGCTCATTGAACAGTTCCTTTGAAGTGATATATTATGGTATGTGTGGTTTGTTGAAGCAAAGGCGTTCTCCATTCGATACGACAACAAGTAAAATCAAGACTTAGCCGATTGCAGCGACTTGAGATGTGGCGGGGAAGCGAGTGCTTGGTGCGAAATAAGCAATTCAAATTCCATGTCTGACATTCAAAATTCCAAAACCAAGCCAATATCGTTCTTCTTCTTCAATTTGCGGATTTGTCGATTCCGAATAAGAAATTCGTTTACGCAGCACCATGGAATGTACGTAGGCAGCGTGTATGGGTGTGTTTATCGAGATAGATAAAATATTTCGATGAGAAAATTTAAATATAAATTCGAATTTTTTCAGGTGGTCTTAAAACATCTCTAACTCTCTGCTTATCTTATTGACAAACATGCGAAAAGCTTTTTTTCTGCTCATCGCATTTCAGACACTTATCGCATAACGGAAACCATCCATGGCAACAATAAGTTAAAAGATACTTATATACACAACATGGAATATGTTGTGATGGCTAGGTATTAGACAAGATTTCAGATTTTTGAGAAGAAAAAAAATCGATTCAATAATCCATTTTGAATAAGTCCTAATTTTTCACACCAATCCCGTTACACGAACGTGTCAATATGAACACCTCACCAGATGAAGGTGCAACATTTCAACTCCCGGAAGAAAGCAGATAAAAAGTAAACAGAAAACTAACCGAAAGTTGTTGAAACTTCTAGCATGTTCTAACAAAACCATATGCAAAGTACAAATTTCTTGAATACTTGAATGGTCAATTGGTCATGCAGTTTTGATCTGCCTGGGATTATGTTGTTGACAAGCTTTTACTAATTCCCAACTGCATTTTGAAGGGCTATTTAATTCATCATCTTTTTATATTTACATTTCAAATCTTCTTTGCTAAAAGTTTATGTGTGTGACCTTATGTGGTCCTGGACATCGACAGCAAAAATGCCGGCAAAATGAATTCACCATTTTTCAAAAATTTGTTTTTGGTTTGGCTTTGCTAAGATAAATTGATTTCCCTTCTTCTCGCACACAAGAACACAACGGGGTCAAACGGCTGGCTTGCGTTCGTTCAGCACCTACCGCAACAATGCTTGCGAAGGTCATGGAGAGTTAGTCAGTGTAACTGGAAATTGAGAATCGCTTATTTTGAAACCATGCAAAATATTCGTGATATTTTTTTTCGTACACATTTTACCAGAATTTCACTTGTGGTTTCGTTCAGTTCAGTCATATACATACTTCACCAGCAACTAATACAGCAGGAATCGTCTTAAACTCCATACACAGAAGCCACAACCAATTTGTTTCGTAGATGCTGTCAATAAGTCCATTTAATCAACTCGACAACCAGTCATTTTTCATGAACAAACTCATTTTTCACGCATCAACTACGTATATGCTGTGTGGCTGCAAATAAATTCGGTGGCAAGCAGGAAAGGAAACAAACCAATTTCATCGTTAAAATGAAATCGTTAAAATTGGAATTCGCCCATTTTTCATATGCAAAATGAAGCACACCCATACATAAACACACTTGCACACCCATCCCATGGAGACCGACACGTGTGTACCACAGTTTGGCTCATCTAGTGTGAACATTAGGAATGTTTATGATGTGCGAAAAGCTCTACACCGAGCCAACGGTCACTTCGAAAAACGTTATCGAATAAATTTGAATAACAAGTGTGTGCTTCAAGGCAAAGAAAAAAAACTCCCTCAAATATCGAGTACTACGACCACATTTATCGGTGACCGAACCGCATCAACCGAAGTGGAAGTAGGTAAAGAACGCAATTCCTCACAATCCCGGAACAAATACGATGCGGAATAGTTTTCAAAATGGTAATATTAAAATGTCAATTTCTCATTACAAACGATCTGGTAGCAGGAAGAGAAATGAACGTATTCCAATTTGAAATCAACTTCAAATGTGTTACTATTTCAATTATCGGTGAAGCGAGCAAATTGCGTGAAAAAGAAACCGAAAAAAATTAAATGAGCAAACACCACATTTTTTGTGCTCGCTGAAGCGTATGATTTATTCTATTATGGCATTCTTTTATGTCGTTGTTCCGTTTCGATTTATTTTACCAATGGCTTTGTGTGCGCATTGATTCCATCGAGAGAGGTAGCGAGTGGAAGAGATGGAGATCGAGACAGAAAAACGTTTCGGATTGAATCAGTTGTTGGTCTGATAACATTGGATATAGGTGAGCCTTTGAGAAATTGTAAGTACATTTTTGTGGCATCGTATGCATCGTTTAGCCGCCTCTTCCCTTCGCTACCAATTCCGTTATGCGGTAATTCATTTTATCGGATGTCATTACCATTCATCATTTATATTATGAAAAACCATGGCATCGAAATAATGTTGGATTCGGGTGCCCTTGGTGGTTTAGCACACAGGCACAAGCGGTTCGAAAATCTTCTGCAAAACGCTTGCCAGCAATAATATTTTGTCATGGACACGCTGCGTACGCGCGCGCGCGTGTGTGTGTCTGTGTGCCGTTATGAAAGCGAATATGCTGTGGTGCATGGCCATTTTTAACGGTGTTGTTGTGGTGATACTGACAATGTAGTGAACGCACGGATGCTTCGATATAGGTAGGTATCCGTTTTGGTTCTCATTTCGGGCGGTCGTTATCTTTGTTCGGTGCAGAAACTGCACATTTAAATCAGAATATTCAGTGTGTAATAGCAGTTCGAATATTTTATGCGTTATTCTCTTTATGTCGCTTCTGGAAATGGGTTTGTGTTCTTTTTTTTGGTCGACATCACTATTTGATCAGAGTCCAAATTGTGTTATGTGTGTTGGTTGGTTGAATTCACTACATAAAACTGCTCTTGAACCATAAACACATGCAATACGCTTAAGCATAGCCAAAGGTATCTACGATATGCGTCACCATCGTCTATCCTATATATGTATTGTTGCGACTGGCACACGAATGTCGTTGAACGAACATCAAAAGGGCTGACACAATTAATAGGAATTTGTGGTGAAACGCTTCTCTTCACATGAATGAAAATACCCACAATTGGATACTTTTCTACAACAACTGCACCGAAGCCGACATCTGCCGAAGTGAATTCGGGTCAAAATTAAGTGAAAATTCAATGTTGCAAATAGTCTCAAAGATGTATACTCAAATGGAATGCTTGCTGCTGGGCTCCATTTCACAAAATACTGGCACACATCATAAAATTACAAGTGAAACGTTGAAGTGCTAATAGCTGCAAGGTGATAAGAAATAAACAGTTCACCACAAACTGTCTCTCTCTCTCTCTTTTGTTCTCGCCACATTGACGCACATTTTATGGGCCGTTGAATGGCGACGCTATCTTATCTCTTTCAAGTTATTATTATTGTCTATCAATCTTTTTTCAGCTTCTCCCATCTTCATCATGAACAAAAAAATGTGTGCCGTAAGACCAAGGAAAAATTCACAACGGCACTTCTGCCTCAAGCGCATCAATTTGTTTTATTGAATTTATGCTGGGAAGAAAAAATTTGCAAATATTTATCTTGATGAGCAATCGTTTGTTTGTTTGCTAAAATTTGATTCATTTTGATTAATGACACTCGCGCATTTTTTTCGGTCGTTGGAATTTTCAATTAAAAAACAAACCTGTGTGAAATCCAAACTGTGAATCAAATAACAGCATACTGAATTACGCTGAATTTTTTTTAAGGTTATCCTCCAGAGTCAATGCAAAAATCTTAATGGAATCGGGCCCTGGCCAAAAGCTTGTATACTGTACACGCTCTCGTGTGCTGGACATTTTCATGATGTTTATATTCCTTTTTATGGTTTTTCCCGCTCAACACAGAGAAAGAACGATACCATCTCCTTTCAATGGAAAACTATTTCAATTTTCAGTTTTTTTTTCAGACACAACGAAATGTTAATGTGTGTCCGAAGTTTGTGCAAAAATGTCTGTGATCATTGACTTAATTTATGGTAGTCCACTTTTCGGTCGGTGAGCAAGCGAGAAAGAGAGAGAGAGAGAGAGAGAATTTGATGACGCATCAATTTTGTTTTGGACGTTCTCCATTCTCTTGCACCTTCCACTCACCTTACTTTTTCTCCGACAATGTGGTTTTGTTTTGGATTTTACTTCTAATAAAACGATGGTGTTGTCGACATTATATCGACTGACCTTTTTCGGCCACAGTCCACTGCTGAAAAGAGTTAACTTTTAATGATTTAAATTGATTGGTTGCAAAGTAGAAAGCGTATACGCTTGTGTTTCAACGTTTTTTGTTCGTGCTTTTTGACATTCACCATAGCCGAATTAAGTAGAAAAAATTCAAGTATGAAATACTCCAAATAATTTTCATTTTTCCTCCTTGAAATTCCCATTCAAACGAATGGCGAACCGAAATGAGCATCATTGCAATGATTTTATTTGAAAATGTGACATTTTAAATGGAAGCAAATGTACTCAAAAACATTTCCAAGTTGTGCAAAAGAAAAATTGAAGAAAATGGCAAACACGAGACACACACAGAGGAAGAGAGAGACAATAA